GTTGCGCGCCATTGTGAGGCAACAATATAAGTGGATAATTTTTTTCACCCAGCTTCATTCTCTGACCGTCGATAAAAAATGATTATTACTATGACGTGGCATAATCACAGCTGTTGGATTCTATCACACAGTGCACAATGTTGAAACAAATTCAGTTACGGAACCCAAAGTTTCTAATCAACGGAATTTGAAGAAACGCTTTCAATTCCGAAACCCGCCATTAAAAAGACCTTGAACCCTCAGAAGCAAACCAGCGAATTTTTTCAAATTTCGAATTTCAAAATCCCACCTCTCTCTCTCTCTTACTCTCTCGTTTCAAGCTTAGAGAATCCTAGTGCGAGAAAATGTTGGCTGCTCTGAAGTAAGTGATTGATCTCTCTCTCTCTCTCTACTACGATGATTCTTCTTCTTCTTCTCCGTTCATCGTTTTGGTTTAAGCTCTGATTCTCTTCTTCTCGTGTTTTTTTTTTATTTTTCCGATGATTCATAGAGCTGAAGAAGCGAGCCAGATGCAGCTCGTTGAGCGCGATGAAATGGATGAAGACGATGATCTGTTTGAAGCGATTGACAAATGTAAGATCTAAAATCGTTTTACGCTTTTAGGATCTTTGGTTTCTAGCAAACTCATTACGTTTCTTCAAATCTCGTTTCAAAATCTTCATCATCTGTTTTGGAATCGTCTCTATGTGTTCCATCTCTTCTGATTTTGCGCAATTTGTTTATCTAAACTTCGTTGCTGGTGAAATCGCTGGGTATTATGAAATCGGATCTAGAATCGTTCATCTAAACCTCTGTTAGGTTTCGAATTTAAGTTTGAATCTATGATACATATTGATTTCTGAGCATGGATTCTACTTGATAGCGAATAGGTTATGGTTAAGTGTTAAATCTAGACCTATTTCTTGTACTGCTTGTGAAATTCGAGTGTACTCCAAAGAATTTGGTAGTTCGATTTCTGTATCTGGCTCAAATCTGTAACTGATTTGATCTCGTACCTTCTATTTTTGCTTGTACCAGTGATCGCTCAAGGTATTAACGCTGGAGATGTGAAGAAACTTCAGGATGCTGGGATCCATACTTGCAATGGTCTCATGATGCATACCAAGAAGGTATAAACCAGCTTGTTAAGAATCACTCATTGGTTATATAGATTATTTTGATGCTGGTTGCATGAGTCTATTGTTTTAATTTTTGATTGACGCAGAACCTCACTGGAATCAAAGGTTTATCAGAGGCCAAAGTTGAAAAAATCTGTGAAGCTGCTGAGAAAGTTGTGGTTAGTTTAAACGTTTCAACTGTTGTTGATATATCTATATTACTTCCTGCATTTGCTTCATTTGAGTTTTCAAAACGTTTCTCCTTCAGAACTTTGGATATATGACTGGAAGTGATGCTCTTCTAAAGGTTAGTCTCACTGGAACTAAGGTCTAGAAGTCTGTCTTGCATCTAAGTCCTGTGGCTTGTTCCCACTAGCAGAACCATGAAATGTTTAGACTTATTCATCGTTTCATATATTAGATATTGAAACCTGCTAGTTGGTTTTTGCTTATAGAGAAAATCAGTTGTGAAGATCACTACAGGGTGCCAAGCTCTCGATGACCTCTTAGGAGGTATACTAAGTTTTGCTTTAACTGGTTGTCATTTTGATCACACTACTTCAGAATGTGGTTTAATTGTTTCACAATGCTTGGTAGGTGGAATCGAAACCTCAGCCATCACAGAGGCTTTTGGGGAATTTAGGTGAGAAGCAACTGATCCCGGCTCTAGAGGTTTCCTGTTAATTAGCTTGTATTCTAATAGAGTTTAACTTCACTTCAGGTCTGGGAAAACTCAGTTAGCACATACCCTTTGTGTCACTACGCAGGTTTGCTGTTTCTTTCCTAGTGTCTCAATATGAATTAACACTTGTGGTGTCTTATTCACCTTTAAATATGCATGAGATAAGATTTTACTTTCAGTATGTAACCATTGAGTACTCTGTTTCATATTGCCATTGGTATATTCATTTTTGTATCTTTGTTATGCAGCTACCTACAAACATGAAAGGAGGAAATGGAAAAGTTGCTTACATTGACACTGAGGGAACCTTGTATCCTTAATACCGTATAGCAAATCTTCCGACCAGATCTTGTAGCTTCATTAGGAGATCACTATAACCATGATTTTTCCTTAACCCTTAAATTTTTGTAGCCGGCCTGATAGGATTGTCCCAATTGCTGAAAGATTTGGAATGGATCCAGGTGCAGTGCTTGACAATGTAAGCATTATTAACCTCTCATCTTTACTTACTCCCAGGAACTGCAATTGACATTCAAAAATCTTCTTCATCTTGATGTAACAGATCATCTATGCTCGTGCTTATACCTATGAGCATCAGTACAACTTGCTTCTTGGCCTTGCTGCAAAAATGTCTGAGGAACCATTTAGGATTCTGGTAAGTAAACATATCTGATTATATTAGTTTAGTTATCCATCCGTCAAAACTCAACACAAATATGAACTAATTTAGCTGAGTTTACCATGTTTTCCAGATTGTTGACTCGGTCATTGCTTTATTCCGAGTCGATTTCACTGGAAGAGGAGAACTCGCAGACCGCCAGGTTAACTTTGCCTCTCAACATTACTACAGCATAGTCATTGACACAATCTTGCTTTGCTCAATAAGTCCAGTTTCTATGTTGCAGCAAAAACTAGCTCAGATGCTTTCCAGGCTTATCAAAATCGCAGAGGAATTCAACGTTGCTGTCTACATGACCAACCAAGGTTTACTTTACACTAGCTTGATATAATGACATAAAGAATCGATTCTTTTGGCTTCCTGGGGTTGGACTAACTTAACAAGGATCATTGTTGCATTTGGTGGCCAATTGCAGTCATAGCCGACCCAGGTGGTGGAATGTTCATATCAGATCCAAAGAAGCCAGCAGGTGGACATGTTCTAGCTCACGCAGCCACTATCAGGCTCTCGTTCAGGAAAGGCAAAGGAGAACAACGTGTCTGCAAAGTCTTCGATGCTCCAAATCTCCCTGAAGCTGAAGCCATATCCTTTTACTAAACCCCACACACACACAGACACCACTTGCTTCGATTTTGACTACTCATCCATAATGCAATGCCTTTGATTTTTTTTTTCCTTAACAGAAGAAATTACATTTTCCAGATTACTCCAGGAGGCATTGCAGATGCGAAGGATTAGAGGAGCTAGCGAAGTTATGGCGAAGTTAGTAGATCATTGACTGATCATCTCTCTGATACTCGATTGTTGGGATTCCCATCGAGTCCTGTCCGTAGGAATCAAAGTTATGTTTAGGAGTCTGCTAATATTTTATCAATAATTACATCATATGTATGCACTGAATCATAAGACGTTTATAAAAACTTATAGACTTTTGGCCATTAGTCCTTAGACTTGCTCCAGTAAGAAATACATATCATGAAAAGAGTAAAGTGATCAAAACTCAAATATGTGGCATGCAGAAAAAAGAAACCAGAGTATATATATAAATTAAGCTCTGTAAACCGAGACTTAATCATCTAGTTATCTCCTTTTATGGTAGCGACAAAACTTTTCGAAAGCGAAAAGTTTCACCATGTTTCGAGCATATCGACGGTTTTCTAAACTGGATTGTCTTTTCCTTTTGCGTCGTGCAGGTAGCTTGATTTGCACTAAACTTGGAACATAAGGACATACCAATGGCATACTATTTGGGTAGGCAGATTCTCCAAGATCAATTTCTGCAACGTATCCAGCCTCTCCAATGATGATAACTGTGTTGCGCTTCAATAGGTTTTCAAAAACCATGGCGACTTTGTTCACCTCGTCAATGAAGAAACTCCCTTTACAAAGATCAATTGGGTTGTCTAGTACCATATCCAAATTCAAGAACTTGCTCCACGACACCTCATCGGCCTCAATCTTAGTCGTAATCCAAACCTCAGTAACATCATGATCGTGCCAAAACAAAGCAGCAATGGCGGCTACCATGAAATGTTTTGTGTAATGGCGGCTACCATGAAATACTTGTTTGATGACTTCTGGACCAAGCAAGTAGAGTTTGGTTCAAACAACAAATTATTTTTTTCATACCCTAGACCTATTTCATGGGGATCTCTAAACTAGAAAACTCAAAGTTAAAAAAATTCGAAAATATTAAAAATTCTTGTTTTTAACTTCAACCTTAGAATCAGTTAAGAATTGGAAAAAAAAAACCATAAGTACTCTATTTTTTTTCCTCACTCATGAAACACATGTATCTTTATGAGTGAATTTTTATTTATTTTGTGATGAACCTAAATTCTCATAGTTTTAAATATTATAATTGTGAGTTTTATTTTATTTATAAATTAAGCTCCATTATGCATAGGTTTAAATTATACATGAATATTATTTTTAATTGATATTAGATAAGGTTAATATTAAGTTAATATTGTTTAAGTTAATACAATAATATAATATTAAAAATGAGATTCTTAAACTTAAAACTGTCAATCTTTTGATACTTTAATAAAATTTAGTTATTACTTTCTTTCCTTATTTAATATTGTTTCCATATCTACGATGTAATTTGATATGTTTTAAAATATTAATAAAAATCTCACACAATTTTTTAAAATTAGTTAATATTATATCGATGAGATTCTTCATATTTACTTATTTAGTAATGAGATAAACTAACTATAACTGTTAATTAATGAATTGCTTTCACCGCCTTATACTTGTTTTACAACTTTTACTTTTACAAGAGAATGTTTCCACCGCCCTTATAGTTTTATTACTACTTAAATACGTTGCTAGCCCTAATTCTCCGACCCTCTCTGTTTCTAACGATTCGTTATTCTCGTCAAGCATCTCCATCATCTCAAACTCTCTCAATCAAAGGTAATTTCATTCTTCTTCATCTTTCAATCTAGCTAGGTTCGAGTTTTGTTCTTCATCTTATATTTGTTTGGTTATATCTGTATCTTAGATCTCAAGGTTTGTTTTTATATGTAACAGGTTCTTGTGCTCTAAGGAAGATGGCGACAACTTCTCGTTTTTTCGTTGAGTCTGAGGTTTACTTCCTTTCAAAACTTTAGTTTACTTACTAAAACATATATTTCTCTTATAACTCTCCTCTGCTTTGCTTCAGTTTCTTAATGATTTTTCTTTGCCTTATGTTTTGTTTACAGGACGAAAGTAAAAGTGAAGATGAGTGTGATTTTGAACAAGAGGTTGAGAATAATAACCTTCGTTACCTTGCAGACCAACCTGACTGTAAGTTCTGTTATAGTTCGGATACTAAACGTGTGGTAAAGCCAACAAAAGATAAACGTTTTGAGGAGATGACCAACACCATAAGGGTGCTGAAGGATCATGTGATCACCAATAATTGGGTTTACGTGCCAGAAACGTTTGAGAAACTCAACAAACAGGTTGAGAAGGTCATGAAGGTTACAAACACTGTGAAGCCTCCGAGATTGTATATCGAAGCCCTTGTGATGTTGGAAGATTTCTCGAGTAACCATGGTCTTGTTAGCTCCAAGGCTTTGAGCTCAATTAAACATAAGTTGAAGAAGAACAATGCGCAGTACCAAGAAGATATCGAAAGATTTAGGATGTTTCAAGAAAGTGGGGAAGATTACGAGTATGAAGAGGAAGTGGAGGAGCCTGATGATAGTGTTTCTTGGGAGACGTTGTTTAGTTTAGATCATGAAGAGATAACTTGGAACATAGTCAAGAAGAAGTTCAAAGAAACTGTGGCTGCTCGTGGGAGCAAGAGAAGAAGTGCTGGACTTAAACTCAAAACTGGTGAGACTCTTGCACAGAGGCTTATGTACTTGACAAATATCGCCAAGACTCCTGCGCAGAAACTTGAAATCTTGTTTAGCGTTATTTCAGCAGAGTTTGATGCTAGTTCAGGTGGTCTCAACGGATACATGCCTATCAATGTATGGAAGAAATGTGTAGCTAACATGCTTACCGTACTTGACATTCTTGTCGCATACGACAATATTGTTGTGGATTACACGGTTGAACCTAATGAGAAGGAAACTTCAAAGCCAGTAAACTATGCTGGAACTATTCGAGTCAGGGGAGATTTGGTTGCATTCTTAGAGAGGATTGAGACAGAGTTTGTCAAGAGTTTGCAGTGCATTGATCCTCACACCAATGAGTATGTTAAGAGACTGAAGGATGAGCCTATGTTCTTGGTCCTTGCTCAAAACATCCAAGACTACTTGGAGCGAGTAGGTGATTACAAAGCTGCTTCAAATGTAGCCTTAATACGAGTTGAGTCAATATATTACAAGCCCCAAGAAGTTTTTGATGCTATGAGGAACTTGGCTGATGAGTTGGTGGAAGAAGATGATGAAATTCAGGAGAACACAGAGGAAACTAGACCTCATTCTTCTTTATTCATTGTTGTTCCGGAGATTGTTCCCCGTAAGCCTACCTTTGCAGAGAGCAGCAGAGCTATGATGGATACTCTTGTGTCCTTTATCTACAAATATGGAGAAGAAAGAACCAAAGCCAGAGCAATGCTATGTGATATCTATCAACATGCTTTGATGGAAAATTTTGTGACTGCTAGAGACTTGTTGCTGATGAGTCGTCTCCAAGACAACATTCAATACATGGACATCTCAACACAGATTCTCTTTAACAGGACAATGGCACAACTTGGTCTTTGCGCCTTCCGGGTTGGAATGATAACTGAGTCACATAGCTGCCTCTCTGAGCTTTACTCTGTTCATAGAGTTAGGGAGTTACTTGGCCAAGGTGTTTCACACATTCGAGAACAGGACAAGACACCAGAGCAGGTTAATATTGAGCTTATACTACATATTATCTTCTGTTGCATTTTGTTGTTATTTTCATACAGTATAATTAATTTCTCTCTTTAAAAAAATATAGATGCTTATGGAGAGGAGAAGACAAATGCCTTACCACATGCACATAAACCTCGAGCTCTTGGAAGCTGTTCATCTCACTTGTGCCATGCTAATTGAAGTCCCAAACATGGCAGCAAACTCGGATGGTGCCAACAGCAAATTGATTAGCAAGAATATTCATCGCCTGCTCGAGAAAAGTGAGAAGCAAACGTTCACTGCACCACCTGAAACTATACGTGACCATGTCATGGCAGCCACAAGAGCCCTGGCCAAAGGGAAATTCCAAGAGGCGTTTGAAGTTTTGAACTCTCTTGATGTCTGGAGACTGTTCAAGAACCGCGACAGCATCTTGGATATGGTGAAAGCTAGGATCATTGAAGTGGCTCTAAGGACTTACCTATTCACATACTCGAGCTCCTGCTACAAATCTTTAAGTCTTGATGAGCTAGCCAAAATGTTTGACATCTCTGAGTCACAGGTCTATAACATTGTGAACAAGATGATGATAAACGATGAGCTTAATGCTAGATGGGACCAGCCAACTCAATGCATTGTCTTCCATGAAGTGAAACAGAACAGATTACAATCATTGGCTTGTCAGTTAACTGATAAAGTCTTGATTCTAACAGAAAGCAACGAAAGTGCCATGGAATCTAGAATTGGTGGTGGTTGTCTGGATATGAGCTCAAGAAAAAGGGACAAGATTCAGGACAGTGCAGCAGCATAATCAGAAAACATAGGTATGCAAATGGATGGCTCAAGCGGTATGGAGAGTCTTAACCAAGGTGTTCCTGCGTAAAGAGGATCATGAGAGAGATTTGCAGGCAGTGTTGACCTTAGGCTCTACTAAGACTTTTCATTACGTTCGATGAACTTCTTTTTGTTTTGTTTTCTGTGGTTGTTTAAGAATTGCTTTATTGGAAAGTCACATCTTTTGAATAGAAAAAAGATTTCGTTTGTTTCATCACATTGGTTTCTCTATGTGCTTTGAAGGTCTAGTTTTTGTGAGGTCTTATACTCTCTATTCTTTGTGTGCTTAGTTTCTTCTTGTCTCGTTGAAATAAAATGTGTGATTAGGCTCTGTTGAAAATAACAATAAACTATCTTCATGTAAGATATGAATAAGTTTGTTAAGTCTTATTGGTTACAGCTTCGGAACTTGGAACGTGGAACTTTTGCTTTGTTGCAGGAATCTTGATGTTGTTTGCAGACTTCAGAGTATAACATATATAACCGTATCTATGCACTGAGAATCATTAAACGTTTATAAATGCTTTATTCTTCTTAGCTTTGTTATTACCAAGTAACAGATGCAGAGCATTAAGAGCACCCATTAGTCCTTAGAATGGCTACAGTGAGAATATCATGAAAAAGAGTAAAGTGAACAAATCTCAATTCTGTGGAACACAGCCACAGGAGTCCAATAAGCAAAAAAAACAAACAAGCCTGTTGCAGCAAATAAACATATTGGCCTCAGATTTGTTGAGACCAATTCTGGACACTCCCGACCCTAGGCACGCCTTCTTTCTTGGCCTCGGAATCGACTTTAAAAGTTACACCGCACACCTCGCCTGAACTGTCTACCCTTGGTACCGGCTTTAACTCATTTAATGGATGCTCATAACTCCTCAAGCCTCCAGATGAGGTAAAGAAACACCCTGCATAAGGCATACACACAACCACATCATAATTCAAATATGCACTAGATCAAAGAACAGTGACATGTCTTCAAAACCCGCAAAATGGTTTGCTTCCTACCTTTAGGGAATGGCGCAAAGGATTTACCACAACCCTTCTTCACAGTCTCAACATCATCAGAAACTACGAGATGGCCTTCAGCATCGGTTCCCCAGAAAAGAGGAACACTCCCATCTGCATCCTGCACAGTGGATTATAACCTCAGCATTACAATATGTAGAAACAAGTGCCAAAATGGGAAAGAAGCAAAATTTAAACTCACCCCAGCAAGGAAGACATTTTTTGTGGAGCAGTCGAAGAGCATAAACGCGAATTTCCCTTGAAAATCTCTAACAACTTGGTCGGCTGAATACGGACCACGGTCTCTGAGAGTTCTGTAGGCTTCAATCACAATGGTGACCTCAGTGGCTGTTTTGGTTAGTCCATATTGTTGCTTAAGAAATGGAACGTTCTCTATATGTCCTTGGAAGATGCAGAACATATCATCCACCACAGCAAACAATCTGTCACACACACAAAATTGAATAGAAAAATCAAAACTTTATTAGTCACATCCTTCCAGGTTCCAACACAATTAACAAAGACGAGACATATAAACCATCAAGACATTGTCATCAGAAAAACCAACATATCAATGGCTCAACCTCTCAGATTCACTTAATCAAAAAGTCAATCAAAACATGTGTTAAATTATCTTTACAAGGCAATGAAACAAATATATCGTATCTAGGATCAGATTATACCAAACAAGCCATACTAGTGATCTCAAAAAATGAAGACAGAACAAAACATCATCACGACACATATACAAAATTAGCAAGGACCTGGGAAGGAGAGGGTTCTGTTTCTCGAGCGAGCAAGCGATGAAACCAGAAGATCCGAGATTGATGGTGACAGCGCCAGGGTTAACAGAGGAGAAATGGTTCGGCAAGAACCCATCTTTAAGAGCACAGACCGATCCACCCTCTTGACCCTGTAGAGCCTCGGGGGTTTTCGCCACGTTCTTGTCGAAGATCGCCAACATTTTTTCACACACAGTCACAAAACACACAGAGCGAGATGATCAATGGTAAAGTAAATGACTTTAGAATGCGTTGAACAGCCACTTCTTGTGACAACCTTATTTTATAAACAAATGGCAAAACTTTCAATACGACTTTTTCGTTTCTTGGCTACAGAATCATAGATATTTATTCGATTTTTCTTTTCCTGCACGTTTTGCAAATATTTGTATAAAAAAGTATATCATTTTTGGTTTTTGACTATGTTGTGTCAAGTATAGTTGGGATTTGTCTTTGAGGATCTCATAACAAATTCGTGTATGCTAAAAACAAGTTAATGATTTATCAATGAATTAGAAATAAGCTTAACAAGTTCTTCATAAGTAAACTGAAGCCAGAGAAAACTGTGGAAAGAAAGTAACCAGAAAACAAAAAGAGGGGTCTTTAGCTATTAAGCTCTTAATAATTAAACTAACACTGTTTTAAGATTGTGTTTTGAATTCGTTCACCATTTCAAACATGAAAAGGACATAAAACCTTGCTGAGGTTTTGTTATATGTTCAAACTCTGTTGTATGCGACTGACTTGCTGAAGAGCTTGCGGATGTAGAGAACCTGAAGCCCACTTGCTGCTGCAAGGAACATGTACTCTCCTACTGTGTAAAATATCACACGCTTTCTCGTGCTCTCATTTGCTGCACACAGAGCAATAATAGATAGTAAAGGATACATCTTTCAACATTAAAACATCTCTATTCAAGAAACAATATTGCTATACTGCATCAGAGCAAGTTTACTCAGGTGGTTGAGGAGAACAAGCTGGAACGGGAAAGGGATTAAACAGAAACATGGAGCATAAGATGAACGGAGAAGACTTACTATGACGGTGACGAGTGTCACGAGCTTTCAAATACTTCTGCTCAGCAACAACAGATTCCAATGCCTCTCTCAGCTCAGCTATCTTTACATTTACCGGGTCCAAATGTTCTGATAACCAAACAACCAAAACAGCACAAACTCAATGCACAAGATAAAGAAGAGGAACATGACATCACAAAACACCATTTTGATAGCATCAATGATAAAAAAAAAACCTCATTAAAAGGGAATAGAAACGAACCATCTTTGGCTAAGTCATGCTCATTTGGAATATGACCAACATGAATGTAAAATGAGACAGTTTCAGGAGTTGAATAAGGATTGTGGAAACAAAATTTGTACATCCCACTTCTTGGAGCCTTAAACTCAAACTTATCACCAGATGTTCCCTTCACTGTTTGTACAATGTTCCCAGCTGGAGACGTCACCTATACAAACAAAACACGATCCCAAATGAATCAACAACACATTACCCCAACCACAATTGCAAAATCCAAACCAATCAAAGATTGAAAATTTCCACAATCCAAATCAAACCCACAATTCCAAATCAAACCCTAAATCATTAACAACATCATTTCAAAGATCAGATCAATACAAAATTAAACACGAAGAATCACCAAAACATTGGATTTATCGAAGGAACACACATCAAAGGTTAGAAATTGGGGGAAAAAGTAATGAAAGATCTCTAACCGTGAAATCCAAACCAGGATGATCAGAACCCCAGAAGATATCATGATCGACGACGACGAAGTTTCCAGAAACAGTGTCGCCTTCGTAAAGGACGTACTCTTGAACACATTCTTCGTCGTTCACCGTTACAGAGAGAGACGAGATTTGATTGATCGAATTCAATAGAATCAGACCGATCAATACAAAGACATGGATCTTCGCTTGTCTTCTCTCCATCCTTTTTTTTTTTCAGATCTTCGGTCAAAGTTTTCAGTTTTTGTTTTGTCGAGAAAATTCTTCGCCGAGTAGAAGAAGACAGAGGAGAGGAAGATGTGATGATTTTTTATTGCGTTTTTAGCTGACTAAACCGGGAGATTAAAACCGGTTTATGACAAAACCGTGAGGTTTTGAGTTTGGTCAACGGCTTTTGGTCTTTACTACTTTAAAGACATATAAAAAAGTACATTATCAGTGATTCAGTATTAAACTATTAATGATCAGTCTAATTTATGAAAATTTTCTCCGATATTTTTTCAGAAATTATATAATTATTGAAATTTTTACTTCATAAAAAATTATATTAGTTTTTCAGTCTTATTTATTGTTATACGTGTTCTTTTTTGAGAAAATCGTGGGGAATGCCATGTAAAGTACCAAATCTTCTTTAAAATGCCATTTTTTATAACACCTTTCAAAACATGCCATAAATCCAATGTAAAAAGACCATGTTACCCTTTTCATTTTCTTTCATTATCTCTCTCTTCTTTATCTTCTTTTTCTTCTTCCAACAACAAATAGTTCTACTAGAACAGATCCGACGGACGAACTCCGGCGGACAAATCCGGCAGACAAATCCGGCGGACAAATTCCGACGGAGCATAGCCACTTCTGGTGCCCTCTCATCAATAAGATTTCTAAAACCTAATTTTTCTCTTTTTCAATAATTATCTGTTTCTTCTTCTTCATCTTCTTTTTCTTCTTCTTCATCTTCTTTTTCTTCTTCCAATAACAAGTTATTCCGGCGGACCACATCTAGCAGACGAATTCCGGCGGACCAGATCCAGCAGATGAAATTCGGCGGACCAGATCCATTGGACTAATTCCGGCGGACCAGTTCCAATTGACCAGAACTCCGGCGGACGAGTTTCGACTAGAACTCCGGCGGACGAGTTTCGACCAGAATTCCGGCGGACGAGTTCCGACAGACAATAGTCAGTTCTGGTGAACTATAACGAGTTCTCGCAGACCAGATTCGACGGACCAGTTCTGACAGACTAAATAGACGAGTTCTGATAGACCAGATTTGGCAGACCAGTTCAAGTGGACCATAGACAGTTCCGACGAACTATAACCAGTTCCGGCGGACCAAATAGACCAGTTACGATGGACAAGTTGTGGCAAACCATTCCCGGTAGACAAAAACTAGTTATGATGGACTTGTTTCGGCTGACAGTTCAAGTGGATCTGATTCGACGGACCACATGATAAAACAAGTGATGCGTTTATGGTGGACAAGATTCATTTCTCTATAGATGGACAACATTCGACGAACCAATTTTGGTGGACTAGACTCGAAATAGTTATGTCGGATCAGATCTATTGGACCAGATCTAGTGGACCAGATCTTGTGGACAAGATTTCTTTTTTATTTTGATTTTGCTTTTTTCAAAACATTTGCCTGAGGGCAAAATCGTCCATACTAAACTTTTTGTGGCAGGATTTGAAAGGAGTTTTCAAAAATGGCACTAAGAGAAGATTGAGTTTCAAAACTGGCATAGAAGACAAAATTCTCTTCTTTTTTTTGGTCTCTGACAATAAACATATAACAATTTTAATCAAAAACAAGACTCGGAAAAATGGTGCTAATAGTAGTCTTACTTTTACAAATTATATTATTTTATATGTTTATGAGATATTTATATAAGTTATTGATTATGTGACAAATTAGAAGAAAAAAAATGTCAAAGTGCTTTTCTTTTCTTTTTCAGATTTTGGGTCAACATTGCCAAAGTACATATATTCTAAGAAATCATTTTTTTTTCTGGGAACAAAATCTAAAGATTCATATCTCCTTTCTTGATGTTACCATAGAAGTAGAAGAAAAAATTGAAGCTTTCCAAATCTCATCCCTGATGAGATTTGGCAATTAGCTTCATATGCCACCAAAGACCTTCAACGACCAGAATGTCATTTTGGGGGAGATATTTGGTAAACATGAAAAAAACATGTATAAGATATTTAGGGCCAAGCTAGACTTTTATGAGGCCTTATAAGCCCTTTACGGCCCATTCTGAGCTTTAGCAAAGTGTTTGAGTAAACAATATTTTATCAGACCACTCATGACTAAACAATACTCAACAAGACCTCCAAAAGGCTACAACAACTTCTTCTAAGACCAAGCTTAATCTACCATATGTTTAGTTAATAGTTATTGTGAAACATATGTCAACACGCTAATGTAAGGTCTCAGATTGTAACGTTAAGTTGTTAAACATTGAAAAAAGTTCTTAATTTATTGATATCAAGAGATATATAACTCCGGACCTTATGAATCTTGATTAACTTTTTATATCAAAGACGTTTGAATGTACAAAATAAAGGTATTGAAACGTTCAAACGACCGTAAAAAAAATTAACGGAGCCAAGATCGGCCACGTAGAAAGAGACAAAGAGAGAACAGTCACGGACTCGGACAGAGGTATGTATGGGCCTATTTGGATCCCCCAACTCAGCTAAGTTCCAAAAGCAAAAGAGATGTGTAATAAAATGATAAAATCTCTTTCTAGAAACGAAAGCAATGTACTGTTTTGTTATGAGCCACATGTTTTTCTTTTGGGAGATGGGGAGAATCTTATTTTTACGTGTTTTTAACCAATCCCACTAGGCCAAAAAAGCGAGAAGAAGCTGGTGACGAAGGAGTAGGCCACGTCCCTATGATTTACTTGTTCTTTTTCCTTCAAAAGTTATGCGTGGGGACAATGTAAGCAACGTGGTTCCTTTAGATATCTCAGCTTCCTCTTTTCCACTTTTTCAGCCTACGTGTTTCGTTTTGGACCTGCCAAATGCACGAACGAATAAGTTTGATGTCCAAAAATCTTGGAATTGTGAGGAGGATCCAAATTAGATGATTAAGCATGTTTTGAGTTCATATGAGTATGAAAACGTATATGAACAGTGCGTAGTACTTTTGCATATACTCATTTTGATATCGAGGTGATGAACTAAATGACATTGTTGATCACTTACTACTCGAGTAACAATTAAGAAAGAAACATAATATGTGTAACCAATGGTACAAAATGGCAAGAAATGGTTCCAAACACTAGCTACAATTATTTCACTAATGAAATTAGATACGATACTATGTCAAGGAGAGAAAGTGAACTTAAAGAATCACAAATAAAAATATACGAAATTATGAAATTTGTCAAAAGGTATAATTGCTATTTTTTTTTTTTTTTTGTCATCGGTATAATTGCTATTTAAAACATTCATTTATAATAGCCAAGGCCACAAGTGTAAAGTAATACGTAATAGACAAATTCCAATTTTGGTCATTTGAACTCATGTGTTATGTTTTTGACCGTTGGTTATATTTGTGTGAACAATATTAAAAGGAGGCTAAACAAGTAAATAGCTAAAAGAAAGTTCAGGAAACAACTCGACCTAATGAGACCTATCATTTCATATCACTCCGTCCTATAAATATACATACGTAAGTTCCTTCATTACTCATATCAAACATCAATCTTCTACACACAAGATCCAACTTAAAGTTCAATAACCTAGCTACTACTACAACAACAAGTTTCTTCTTGATCTCATACACAAGCTTTAGAAATGGCAACAGCATCGTTCAACATGCAATCAGTCTTCGCCGGTGGATTGACCACTACCCGCAAGATCAACACCAACAAGCTTTTTTCTGCCGGTAGCTTCCCTAACCTCAAGAGGAACTTTCCGGTTGGAGTGAGATGCATGGCTGAGGTACTTTATATAATCATCCCCTTTCCTAATCCAACGCTTATTCACCATATAACTATGAAACCCTTTTTACCGTTTGATTTTTTTCTACTTTTGTAGGGAGATCCCACGAAGCAAGACTCTACACCTACACCCTCTACCTCCGCATCTCAGCCGTTACCTAAGTCACCATCGCCTCCTCCTCCCATGAAACCTAAGGTATTTTTTTATTTTTAATAACTAATTATCATAAATTTTGTAAAATATTATCTCCTAATAAGATTAGAAATCTTACACTTAATTCACATATTGAATGAAATTTATGAATTAATAGCTATATATTCACATATTTCATATTTTAAAACAGAAAATACTTGTAATAAGTTGTACTCATATGTATTAAAAAACAATGTTGCATCCTCTATACAATATGATCCTCTTTATTACATACATATTAAACAACCTTTATTAGAATATATTTATGTTTAGTGAAAAGGTATATATTATTAATATATAGTGATACTAATAATATTGGTGTGGTGAATGTAGGTGAGCACCAAGTTTAGCGACTTGCTAGCGTTCAGCGGTCCAGCACCAGAGAGAATCAACGGACGTTTAGCGATGGTTGGATTCGTGGCTGCTTTGGCCGTTGAGCTATCTAAAGGTGAAAACGTTTTGGCTCAGATCTCCGACGGTGGAGTCTCGTGGTTCCTCGGTACTACTGCGATCTTGACACTTGCCTCGCTTGTGCCACTTTTCAAGGGCATTACCGCCGAGTCAAAGTCCGATGGTATCATGACATCAGACGCTGAGCTTTGGAACGGACGTTTCGCTATGCTCGGTTTGGTCGCGTTGGCCTTCACTGAGTTCGTCAAGGGAGGAACACTCGTCTAAGGGACAAGCTAGAATACGTATATCGGGAGGATGTTTTATTACGATTTTGCCCATGTATGTATGTTCTCTGTAAAGTATGGTAATTTGTGTTTAGGCCTATATTGTGTGTCTTTATACATATGTACTAGTGACATTTGAAACGTTTAAACGCTTTTGATATAAGAGTGATGTTCATTAACATTAAAACGTTCAAGAGCTTCAGAAATTTTATAACCATACGTACAAAACGTGGTAGGAGAAGATATATATGTGGCCTCTCATAATAATTGCAAACCTAACAAATAAACAATACACGAGAGTTCGCCAACTATATCGATTATTGCATTTATTGCTCTCAATAATTAATAATAATTACAATTCGTAACGAAACTTAGATGTTTACAACTTTATTATTTGCCGACAAAACAAGTGGCGATTAGGATTGTTTCTGAAATCAACTGAGTGTTATTAGCATCAAATAATATTATTTGGAGAGGCTGAAAAACATTTAAGCAAATGTGGTGGTGATTCTGAATGAATCTCAAAATCCCGAACTTGAAAGATAATAAAAATTTACCAATCTTTATAACTTTTTTTGGATATTCTTCTGATAGTAACTCTTCTAACAAAAAAAACATATAATCTGTTTTTCTAAGCATATTTACAATAGAACAAAGGATGAACGAATCAACACAGATTAATTAGCACTATATATGAGAAAGAAGGAAAAAAACATTGCATAGTGGTTGATAAAAAGAGGAAGCAACACGTTCACGGCGCAGTAGTGGTTAATATCCAAAGAGGTAACACGAGCAGCATGCGTGAGTGAGATAGTGATGATCAAGTAAAGTAGATGGGCATTTTCCAAATTATTGGGCCAAGTCCTCATTTCCCAAGTCCAGTTAGGAAAACAGATCTAGTTATGGATTGTTCTCTATTCAATTCAATATATATTTTTATATATCCAATCGGCTGATCCGTTCAGCTTTGGGAGGATCACACCGAGGTGTTACAATGTGGACTCGTCGCCAAAACCTAGGTGTTGTGATACATTGCCTGAATCCAGATTAACGTTTTCCGAATAATGTCCGGAAATAATTATGCCGTTTGTATTTCTGATTACTAAGTAAACCAATTGGGTTTAAATCCAATTGACAGATTTTCCACAAAGATAGTGTTAACAGCAAGCTGGAGAATCGAACTTAGATTGTGGGAATCGCACCCTTCCACCCAAGCTCCTCTGCCACTTGCCCACCACCTCTTGGGCTTTAAGAAAAATATTTATACGTTTAATGAAAGAAGATACAGAGTTTTTGGCATTCAGTAGAATTTACAAGTAAGTAATCAGAAGAAGTGTATGAAAGAGTGAATATGATATGGGCAAAATCAAATAAAAAGTTATATAAAAATGTTATCTAGCAATGAGGAAGTGCAAGTGACTCGGTGAGTCATGAAAAAGAACACAACACAGCATAGGCAGAGAGAGAGCACGTGCATTCGCAATCTTAAATCCAACAGACAGAATTTACGTGACTCCCACTTACCAATGTCGTTTGCTTTTGTATTTTCTTTCTTTTGAGTCCATTCCTTAAATAATCATGAGTCATGACTCATCCCTCTATCTTTCCTCTTTTAGATTTTTAAAAAAGTCTTTGTGAATTTTTTGAGATTCATGATCTATAGTATTATTTGCAATGTTAGATTTTGTTCTTTTCAACTATATAGTAATTTACTGTCATTTTTATTAGTTTTTTGATAATGCGCTGTCCACTGTCTCTCATATTTTCTTTTGCTTAGTGTGTTTAGGGTTACTTATTTAATAATAAATTTATTTTTGGAAGGCTTATTTGTAAAAATAAGTAAGTTTCTTTTGCGTGTCATATCAATAAATAGCATGCTATTGGATATAAAAAAAAAGTGCTATTTACTTTATTAGATGGAAACACAAGTGCTATTTTATGCAAATGAATTAAAAGTGCTTGTCTAGATCCCATTAAGGTGAAAATAATTATACTTACTAATTAATATTTTTGGCTAATTGATAATTATCATCAAAACATGAATCTTTAATAGAATTGCAAATGTTATCTTAATTTTGTTCATTTTAGTTTATGATGTTTCTTTTTCTTCTATTAACCCTCTCAATGTGTTTTGATTATCTCAACAACCATAAAGAAAAAGTGAAAAAAAGAAAAAAAGAAAAACCAAAATTAGATATGATGGATTACTATTTCGGGAAATATTCAGACAATGATTGTTATGACAAAGATCAAAAGGCCAGTGGATAGCTTGCCCTTTCCGCAACACGAGAAACATAAAAAAACAGAAATCATTACTCTTCCTAAAAGAAATACTAACTAAACAATAAGGTAGAACCCTCGAAGGTGCTTGTTAGATCAGATCCCATCAAGTGTGAAAATTGTAAAGTGATAAATCCCAAATATGTATATGAAGTTGAAAAGTGCTAAAATGAAAAGCTCAAGCCGTGTTTCCTCTCTTTTCTTCAGTCAACAAAATACACAAAAACATATACAAAACAAACACGGTTCAAGCCGTGTTTCAATGTCTATTATATACATATATTTACTCAAAATTTTATAAATCAACATTTGTGGAGTGTCATCCATTAGGTCGACCACAACATTTGTGGACTTCAATTTCTTATTGTGGTCACCTACTTGAAATTAAACACTTGAGGGTACAAATATAGTGTTTGAAAATAATGATTCAAAAGAGGTCGTTTAGGATTCTGGAAGCACAAGAAATTACGGGCTTCGAGGAGGAATCTTGTACACGAAATTGAAGTGATTCGACAAGATTCCACCAACCCGAATATACAATTCAACTTTATCTATAGTCATAGAGAGCAGCAGCTTCTAATTAATCGAGTGGCAGATTCTGCTTAGAAAAACATGTGATTATCGATTCTAGAGTCTCAAGTTGACAACAGTATGTAATGCAAGTTGATTTGCCAACCTTGCAACACAACAATTCACGATGTTGAGTTGATAAAAGAAAAAAAAAATAGATAATACATAAATTTAATTCATAACTATTAAGTGGATTATGTGGATTGATCGAAATCAGCTCACAGTCATTCACTGGATGGATGATAGACGATACGAGTAAGGATTACAATTTTGGTTTTATTCTACACATTAAATTTATTTTATAAATTTATTAAATCAATATTTTCTATCAATCTTGAGATATATACAACGTTATTTTTTTTTAAATATAATTTAACATTTAGTTCAAAAAAAAAACATAAATTTGAAATAGTTTTCTATCGCTATTGTGTGTGCACTCTCTCGTAATCATATAAAAATATGTCTATACTTAAGATAATTTCTCAAGAACTTTATTTATTATGTATCTTATACGATTTTGTTTGTTGGTTATATAAATTAAATTAAAAGAACACAATTTTATTTCCAAAAAATAAGTTAAATAAAACAAGAAAAGGATTTGGCCCCCAAATTCAATAAGTTAGTCCACGACTCACTTAATGTAAACATAACCGAATTACTAATAGGAAACAAGTTTTTAAGTAGTCTTCATCATTTCAGTTTCTTCTAAAATTAGTGTGTGAACTAGAACCCAAATAACCAAGTTGCTCAATTAACACATCAACATTTTCTTGATCCCCTTCAAAATCAAAATTTTGACCTTCATTTAACAAATCTTCCCAAAAACCTTCACCATAAATCTCCTTGTCCACCTTTTGGTTATACCCTTGTTGTTGTAGATCTTCCTCTTCCTCCTCTTCATTTCCCCTTTCCACATTCAAGACTTCTTCTCTAGTACTGGAATGATCTCCAAGTCCTTGAATGTGCATAGCAAGTCTGTCCAACTCCGACATCTCGAATTGAGACATGTTTCCATATGTTTCTTGATTCATATCAAGAAACGCCGAGGTTGAGGCTGCAGCATCGTTCCCATAACCACTTTCATCATCATAGTCTCCAACATTAACCACATTTATTTTCCCTTGATCGATTGGTCTTTGTCTCTTCTTGCTGATGGCCTCTTCGATCTCCTTCCTCTTCTCCTTCTGCTCGACAAGCTGCTGAATAAAATCCGGATTTTGCATTGCACGGGCGAGGAAACTCATCATTTGTTGTTGTTTTGATTCAGTCTTCTTGAGCTTCTCTTCAATTGTTGTGAGATACATTTTGGTGCTTTGTTGTTGCTGTCTCAGTCTCACTAGCTCCATCATCAGAACTTGTTTGTCTCGCCTTAGGCTATCCATCTCTCCATCTAGACCATACCTACCGACTTCAATGCAACAATTGTCTAGAGCTTGTTGTTCAGAGCTGTTTGATTGTTGCACCTGATTACTATTGTTGCTTGTCTTCCTTCTCCTTATGTTCTTGAGAAGATGCTTTTGCCCTCTAAGAAACCCTTCATTTGCAAACTCCCATCGATCCGGATTCACCTTTCTGAAACCCTATTTACATAATTTTATGATTAGATTCAACTCCAAACTTGTCTTAATCAACTATTCTTATATCACAAAACAAACAAAAATTTCATCAACTCTTAACCATCTTATTTTCTATCTTTTGTATTTTATGCAACTAGAGATTAGTTTTAGAGAGTTTCCTCATCTTAGAGAGATAATACTTTAGTTGCATATATCATATTAATCAATGTTGTAGAGATTTTTTGGAGATTTCTAACAAACAATGTAGAACATTTGTATACACTCCGTTTCAAGAAGTTCAAGAGATCTCTAGAAACAAAAAGACACACAAGTGGGCTGTAAAATATTATAAGTCTCGAGATTTTTCGGAGAACAGTGATCCCCACTTGCATTTATATATACATACAAACTCACGAATGCTTCAAGCAATCATATATATTATAATTACACTAATTAGCCACTCTGATATCAGAAACACCAATCAAAAGCCAAGTCTCAAGAACTTTGAAAAAAATAAAAAAAGATTGACTGCACCATATGGAAATATCCACAGAAATCAAATCTTTAACTCAATATATAGTTGTAGTCACGATTTTTTTTTTTTTGTGAATTAGTAGATAGATCTTCTCAGATTCGTGAGAATCACACAGACATACACACACACACACATACACACACAAATATATAAATATACATATAGGTATATGTAGATAGATTAGTACTTTTTAGCAAAACAATAAAGACTTACATAAGTGTTGAGCTGGCGGACAAAGCTAGAGAAGTTATTGTGCTTAAAGAATCTAGGGAGGAGAATGACTGAAAAGGCTTGTGGATCCCAGACAATGAAACTGTTATTGGATTTGCTCCAAGACACAACATGATTGGTTCTTGAATCTTCAACCAAGTCATATGTCTTTGTCAAGAAAGGAGGTGGCCCTGATTCATGGAGACCTTCTACTGGTTGTGGATAGCTCAATGTTGTTGGATCATAAGGGGATGCTTCAGCCATGGAAGATGAATACAAGTAAGAGGAAGAAGAAGAAGAAGATGGTGATGATAAAGAATCACTGAATCCAGTAGGAAACTCCTCTTTAATGAATCTAAATGAAGGGTCCATGGTATGGTTCAAATTAAACAATGTTTAGGATCTTTTTGATATGGATTAGCAATAGAAGAAAATGTGAATTGGATTATAGAGAAGTGGGAATTGAAAGGGGATGCAAGCTTGACAAAATTTGCAGAGATGGAGAAAAAGATAAGAGAGATTGTGTTTGGAGTTTAGGGGTGTGAAGATGAAGTATATATGGAGAAGATAGGAGAGGCTGAGAGAGAGAGAGAGAGAGAGAGGGAGAGACAAGGAAGCAACAAGTTTTGTATTTGTATTATATTGCAATTTTTATGAACTTTTGATGATGGATTCCTTCCTCTTTTGTATATTTTTATAATTTTCCACTTTTTTCTTTTTCTATTAGAGAAATATAATTGTATTTTTTTTTGGTTGTATTATATTAAAAATCTTGCACTTTGTGTTGTTGGCATCTAGATAGTTTGACATGTTGGAGCTAAAAGCAATTCCTGAGATATTTTTCCACTCCCTAATGAGTCACTCTTTTGTATTTTTCTAAGCAAAACAAGCAAAGACTTTGTTTAATAGCATTTTAATAAAGATATGTTCGTGTTTTCTTCTGATTGGTCTAGATTTTAAGTATTGTGCATGTATTTACACCCGTCAAGATCCTTTCTTAATTTACACAAAATACTAAATCCTTTTCACGAAAATCATTGAAAAGCGACTATAAATATATGCAAAAGTTCTTTTTATTTTCGTATGTAAACTTAATTATCTTATGAATTATTTGTTGGTGTTAGATAGTAAAGAGTTTAACGAATAAAGCTGAATGAACATTTTGTTATTATAATTCAAATTTTTGTTAGTTAATTTAAACACATTTCTGATCTACCATTATAACACAAAATAATTTCGGAAGTATAACAAGTATTTTAGGAAAATAAAATTTTACAGTCGATTTTCATATTTATTTATTTTCTTTAATTTCTCTAAAATTTTGATCATCTAATTTTCCAAACTACATTTGGGGTTTTTTATTTATTTAATTAAATCATTCAGGGATCTAAACCCATATTTTGAATTTTCTAAACCTCATACTGAAAATATATATTAGTCCCATCAGAGGAAACATGAGTCCCACACTAACCCTTTTAATCCACAACTGGTGAAAGCTTATATGGAATCCAAAAATGACAAAGCAGCTTCCAAGTTCATAGTACACTCCGTATATACGATCTAATTACCATGACACATCAATAATCTATAGATTAAAAAACAAATTATTCCTCGAGGAAACAAAATCAAAACCAAATTTTTCAATTAAGAATAAAGATATCACAGTGTTTCTTATTGTGCTATCGTGTCATGTTCTCGTTATCAAAGCCGACAACTTAACCATTCCAACCTGGAAAAACTATACCGGATAATCATTACATTTAACTCTTTTTCTCTTTTTTTGGATTTAATAATCCATAAACTCTTTACTACAGTACTATATTATTAACTTAGAACGTGATTATTATAACAAAAAGTACGCATCCATATGTAACACACGTACACGAAAAATGCAAACGCGTTTTAAGCAGTGCACGAAACAAATGTACTACTACACATTTTCTCGATTAACTATTAGTTACTTACTGTCTTGTCTTAAAATATCTTGTTTTATTAGCCGAACCAGGTGTAAAAATATCTCCCAACCAAAGTATCATTATTATACTCGAACAGGCAGATAATATACAAATCTAATATAATAAAACAGCTAAATTCTAAAATTGGTAGCAACGATAACCTACCAAATAAATAACGAGATATATATGGATACGTATCAAAGCAATGGGTCCAAATTTGGAAACCAAACACGTGGCCATGGTTAGATTCATAAACACGATTTGGTTTTTATAATTAGGGAGAAAGATAATACGTCATTAGTGCAAGAGCAATGCTTTTGAGAGACTTTCAAAATCGCTGAGGAGTTGACACGACACCCCTTTTGTGAGAGTGTGTCTAAAGCATCCAAAAACTAGACAGAGGGATACGTGTTAGCTGTTCATTAGGTTAATCCATATTCTAATCTTTAGGTGATTACCTAAAACACGTGAAACCTAAACACGTCGACACGTGTCTCTTCCCTTTGCATTTTTTTATATTCCCGGATCTATACTATTCGTTGATTTTGATGATTTCTCATAACATTGAAAATGTTGACTCACAAACTCTAGAAAAAGGGTTTGAGAGAGTAAAGATATTTATGTTCCTTCTCCTGGAATTAGATATTTGTATGCACTTTATTGTTTTAAGATATTCGGATTATTTTAATGTTCGCAAAACTCGAAATATATTTATGTGTCCTTTTCATTAAGTAATAGCCAAAAATTCAAAAGCATGGTCCTTGTACGTTACAAGTATGAAAATGAGATTTTATTAATTCAAAATCTTTGGTCATTGACGTGCATGACTTTTTTCTTGTAAGATATGTTGAAATTATTATATATCCACATAAATCAATTCATTTAAAAAGAAGTAGGTATGAGTATATGAGTTCATTCCTTTTAACTCAAATTAGTTCGACGTTTTTAATCAAGCTATATATGGCACTGCATCAAGTAACATGGTGAAATAAATTAAAACTAAACTCGTAGTAGTTCTTTTTTTTCTTAATCTAAACCTAATTAGATGCATAAATTTTATTACTCTAAAGTTCAAAATACGTCCACCGAATTTGCAAACATGGTATAAATTAATACTAAAAAAATGGAGTTTACAAACTGTTCAATCACAATACCAAGTCGACAAAAAAAAAAAAAAAAAAAAATCATTATACCACAAGCAAGGAGGAGCAGTGCCAGTGAGGGTCATGTAACAAAGTCAAGGGTACAAGTACAACATCAAATAACATTATCCGGACAGAAGCAAAAGTCATTTTAGATGTTTGGACCTAACTTTCTTTTTTTGCATGCTCTGATGCCAATTATGGAAGGACAGATCAAAGATCCATTCAAACTGAGACATCAATGATTCGATCCCAACCCCAGTGAAGCACTGAATAAGCCAAGAGTTCTTGTATTTATCTTCTATTTAGGGTTGATCGTGTTGTAACCAAACAAATTTGTGAGACTCGGTCAAGTCGATATATATGTTAAGCGATATGAACTCACTCACATTTAGACTCATGAACTTTGAACAAACATTATTTTAAATTGCTACATAATATAGACGCCCAAAATTTTATTTTTGTTACACTAATACTGTATGTCTTTATATATATGATGCTGGTGCATGGATACAAACAAGTCGACTTAGTTAAACCAAGTAAGCTTCCACTTTATATTTCGTAGAGTACTTTTCAATAGTGTATCACGATTAATAAGTTAGAAACTTTTTTTTCTTTCAATTATATATATTGTTAAATTGTTAATTTACAATTATAAGAAAAAGATATATTTAAAGATGCAAGTGTGTAGTTTATATAAACGAATCACTTCAGAAGTCAAAAATTATGACTTTTATGTTTCTAAATCCATGTAAGTGTCTGAAGTTATAATCTTAAACCCTTAAACTAGTGCAAACTGTGTAATGTGTATCAGTCAAGCACTTTATTAAGGCGCATTTATATTGGGCTCAGGCCTATTCATGTAATGTCGGCCTCTTCTTCCAAATTAATTGCAAGAAAACAACAACACGTATAAGACAATCATAAGATCGATCAACAATAATATACAGAAAGCCCAAAGCTGTGCTCAACTAGTCTTATCATTTTTATTTTATTTTTTTTCCATATAATGATTTGATTTTCTCGTATATGAATTCTCTTCGCTCACAAAAAAAAATGCAAACTAAGAATGAGAATATATGAAATACAGGCTCCAAATATACAATAGAGGTCTTTTATAGTAATAAATGGATTTTGATAAGGTAAAGCGAATTAAAAGAGCCCATGTGGAAATTAAATGTAGAAGATCTATCACCCTCCACTTCCAGTAGTGAATTTAATTAGTTATTTTTTTTTTTCTCTTTATTGGACTGTCGAAATCTAATAAATTGGTGTGTGGCTCACTCAATTGATTATGGGAATGTTGGGGATTTAGATTTAGTACATTTTGGAAATTATAAATTTTAGTGAAGCCATTTCTTGTATATACATCTATTAATATATATCTATATGTAAATAATATATTTAGGTATAATGAAAAACTTCCCAAAACTAAATGTTAATATTTATCAATTACCTTCTAGGTACTCGTCTAAATGATGATATATATATCTTAGCCTAGTCATTTCTATCGATCTCCAATTATCCATTTCATATAAGACTTTCTTTTGAATTTGAGCCACTCTATAGTATAATCTCAAATTCCTAAACCTAAAACAAATTCTTATCGCAGTTTCGGTATGAACGGGCATCTAAACTCTTTACCATACATGATCTTTATGGCATAGTTTGTTTTTTTGTTGCTTAAGAATGAAAAAAGTGCAAAACATATTCGTTGTTCTTCTAGACTAATATTTACTATAGAGAGTGAGTTTCGTTGTTACACCAGGCCGAGGGCTTGGACCAGTGAGCAATGAGACAGATGAGTCGATCGTAGATCAAAAGGCGTTACATAGGCCGGGTGCAATGGCGCCGAAGTGTATATCCAAGTGTGAGAAGTGTGAGCCGTGTAAACCAGTTTACGTTGTGATTCATCCAGGTCCGATGGGTTATTATCCGGAAGCTTGGCGATGCAAGTGTGGCAACAAACTCTTCATGCCCTAAAATCAAAACAAAGACCTAACTTAGTATTTTTAGGCAACCTTTTCTTTTGTTATTTTTGTGTTTTGTTTTTTTTTTAAAATTTTTAATAATATTTTCCTGCAATACAACAATTGTTAGCTGAATGATTACGAAAACATATGAATTTATTTATTGAAGGCCCAAATAAACAAGTTTGGTCCAGCTTTCAAACTCAAGCTAGGTTACGATTAGGTTTCATTTTCTTAGCTGAGATTCATTCACAGCCGCGGCAATAATAAACAACAGAGATCTCAGAAATGTGGACTACAACAATTTCTCATCTTCCAGAGGAGTTGTTAAACGTGATTCTTTCTAGAACTGGCTTCAAATCTAGGAGATCAGTGAGATTGACATGCAAAAAGTGGAACAACTTGTTCAAGAATCAGAGCTTTATTGGTGAAGATGCAACAACAAGGGAAGGGGAGTCTAAGATGATCCTGTTGAGGGATAACACTCTTTATTTAATGAGCATAGTCATGGAAAATGGAGGAGGAGATGCATTAACCGAGCAGAAAGGTAAACTTATTTGCCAAAACAATGACCAAATCAAGATATCTCAAGTGTTTCACTGTGAGGGTTTATTGCTATGCGTCTTGAAAGACGAAAACTTTAGTCTTGTTGTTTGGAACCCGTATTGGGGGCAAACAAGGTGGATAGAGCCTAGACATTCTTTCAAAACAGGCGATGGAACTGACATGTACAGGTACGCTCTTGGATACAACAACAAGAAACGCTGCCACAAAATCTTGAGGTTTATAGATAATGAATTCCATATATTCTCTGGTCCCTTGTTTGTTATGTGGTATGAAATGTATGATTTTGAGTCTGATTTATGGACAACTCTTGATGTCACTCCGCAATGGACTATAAATCTTGCTGACCGTGGCGTGTCTCTCAAGGGAAACACTTACTGGTGTGCTCATAAATGGAAATCATTCGACATCGACTATATTCACATAATCTGTTTTGATTTTACAAAGGAGAGATTTGGGCCGCTTATGCGTCTGCCTTTTGGAGCTAAGGATGATAGCCTTGTCGCTCTCTCTTGTGTTAGAGACGAGAAGCTTGCGGCTTTGTTTTGCTACGACTATGTTGTTGAGTTTTGGTTCACGACTAAGATTGAGGCCAAAAAGATGTTGTGGACTAGGTTCTTGACACTAAATATTGATAATTTGGGTACTCTGATTCCAGGAAGACTACTACATGGGGCTTTCTTCATTGATGAGGCGAAGAGAGTTGCTATGATTCTTGATAAAACGTGGAATGGTGAGGACACGTTTCACATCATGGGAGATGCTGGATACGGTAAAGAAGTGAGTCTTGGAGAACCTGAAGATAAACTTTTTTACCACCCACTTGTGTGCTCTTATGCTCCAAGTTTAGTGCAAATCGAGCTATCTCCAGGATTCCAAAGGAAGCAACAAAGTGACTTAGAGAAGCGTCGATGTGATGAAAACATATCGAGATTTGTTTCACATGAAGAAGAGCTAACCAAGCGTCTTCTATATGCCGAAGCCATCGAAAAGGGAATACGAGAAGGTGGTATTGGTTTGTGACTTATAAAGAATTTAGATGAGCATAAATTCACCGAGCATAACAATTATAGTCTGCTTTAAAATGTATATGAGCATAATATTATGGCTGCAACTTTCATATCTTAGAGAAGATGTAGTAAGCTAGTTGGTATTATTAAGTGTGACAACATGATTGTAAGGATGTGATGTTTGATTTCAAACATGACACAAAAGTAAGATCGATATTTTTTCCATGTTCCTAAGAAATATAGAAAATAGACACACAAGATACCCTTTTCATATATTGAACTTAAAATTAAACACTTTTTTTACAAAACAAAACAACACTAAATGAAAACAAAATTCATACACCAAGTTTTGCTTAACCAACAACCCCTTGAGGGTCCATTTATATACATTACCCTTATCTTTTCTCCAAGTTCTAGTTTGGCCCCATAAGTTAGATTTCACCCCCTCAAAAAGTAGCTCTAAACTCTTAAACTACTTCATATCCTATATCTATTATTCCTCTCGGCAGCAACAGCAAGAAGCCTTGAGACACCTTGTGTCCACATTTCATACTCTCTCTGGCTTCTGCACTCAAATTCTACTATCCCTCGGGGAACTGTCTTTAATCCAAAGTATCTCAAATCCTCTCCTCCTTCTAGCAAATGGCGGCCTGGCCAAGCCGGAATGTTTTTGATCACATCAATCACAACATCTGTAGTAATATCAAAGAAGAAGAAAAGATTAGTAAATTTTTATTATTAAAGGAGATGTAACATAGAGTCTTGATTATTCACATTTCAAAAGAAAGACAACAGGAGAAAAAAAAAAGTTAAAGATGGCGTCTCCTTTTGTTTTGATCCTCTGATCACTTTGGTCCCAAAACCCTTTTGCTTTTCTTTTTTCTTTTCTTCTCAAATCCCCAAATTCAAACTAGACCCACATCAAAGTTTGAATTCTCATACTATTGATAGTATTTAGTAGATAGAGACAAAGCTAAAGCATCTACCTTTAGTTATGTCACTTTAGTACTATGAGTATACGTATCAAACAAATTCTCTCTGAACTGATTAGAATCTTGAATGATGTTAAGGATGATTAGCTTGATGTATATAATACTGACACTTACTTTTATTCTTCTTTGTGAAGGTCCCTCCAACATGCTTGCTCTTCATCTTCAACATAACCTTCATGTTCAATAACCAAATCAAAACCATAAGAAAGATGCCAAGAAATGGTTTTAAACATAGACTAAAGCAGATCAACTGACTTTTTATCATTAAGAATATTGGTTTCTTTTTCTTTTCTTGATCTATGAAATCTCTTTTTCTGTGTTCTTTTGTATTCTTTTAACAAGATCACAATCATGTGGGTGACTTAAAAAGTTTCCACTGATTTGCCAATAATGTATCTCTCTCTCTTTAATCTTTTTTCCTCTCGTCAAAGTTAATCAGATCACTGATATCATTGCTCAAGAAAGAGATTAAGAAACTCGACAGCCGAGACACAAGATAAGAAGGAATCTTACTTGATTTAGCCTGTTTATGTAAACTGAGACTATTTTCCAATGAAGATCTCCTGTCAAAACAATAACATAAGTTAGAAACAATGATCCAAGAAACAAACTATCACTTTAAACCAAAACAAGAGACACACTGCTAAACAAAATAGCGTTTTTCACCTTTGCGGGTGCGTTTGAGGAGTTGGCAACCCCGAGCGAGCCATTCTCTGTTGCAATGTCCCAAGAAATTATCCTCAACTAGAAATTCGCCACTGTGACTGCTGCTCGAGCTACCATTGCTACCGTTACTATTACCATTAACATTGCTACAACCTCCAGGATTGATTCCTTTATCCATTGGAATAACTGATGCAATGTTCCACACCTCCTTCATTGCCCTCGCCTTCAATGTAGCTACTCCTCTTAACGCTACACCAGAATCAAAACAAAATGAGACATTCAGTTTTTAAAGACATTATTTCACCAGAAACATATTTCAAGTTCTGAATCAAAGTCTAATAATGAGCAAAAATGTTCATCAAATTCGAAAATTTAGCAAACACTTTATAGAGTCATGTTAGAAACTGATAAAAGCCAAATCCTTTATCAGTTTTGAAGTTTCAAATCAAATTCAGAAGCACCAAAATATCAATGAACTGAGAACAAACTAAAAATTAGAATAGTACCTGTGGCTGCTCCAGCAGTTAGTGTCATGATATCTCCCGCGGATCGAACATTAACAGCAGAGCTAACAACTGAGGCTAAATGATCCCTCTCAGCTCCCATAACTTCAGCAGCCTCCACACATTGAGCAGCCACAAGTGTTGCAGCAGAAGCCACAGCCATATCCGTTTTAGCCATATTCTCATCTTTCCCATAGCTCGATGAAGCAGCAGTTGCAGCCGCGATCGCAGCCACCGCTGCAGCCACGCCAGCAACAGAGACAGCAGCGTGTATCTGAGCATTGTGAGCCCTCGTCTCTTCCTTCTTTTTCTCCCTCCGGTCTTTGATCCACCGTCCCACAGTCTTGGACTGTGTGGTTGTTGCAGTGATAGGTCCTGGAGTTGAGCCCGTGGAACGGAACTGAGAGTTGTAGTTGTTTATATTGTTGTTTGTTCTGCAAAATTGCTGCATAGACAATTAAAACAAAGATTCAAACAAAATCAGATTCTCAATCATAATAAGTCCAAGAAGTTATTTAATTCAACACAAAAAGGATAAAACAAATGAAGCAAAAATCTAATTAAGGTAAACTCAGACAAGAAACCAAATCGAGTAAAGAGGATTGCTTTATATTAAAAAAACATACTTCAATTAAATAATCAAAAATCTAAGAACGTTCATCGAAGTAACCAAAAAACGAAGATTATATATGATCTGTAGGTAATGGTGAGAAACATAAACAAGTATTATCTTATCTCAAGAGTGTCATTAGCCAGGGAGATTAAAGAACCAAACATATAGTATAATGAGAATGTATATTGAACCTTAATGTCGTCGACTTCATGAGGCGAAATCGGAGGACTGTCGGTTAAAGAACCATTGAGAGGACCGCTGCTGTGAGAAAGCCGACCAGATGTTCGTGGAGACACTTCCTGCTGCAAAAACAGATTCAAAAGCATCGGCATGTAAGAATAAGACAAAGATAAACAGTGGAATTGTTAGCTTTTTGACTTCAAGAAAAATCCAAACTTTGTGATTATGTATAGGGCCCATGAAAGGTGAGTGTTTTAGAGAATCATATCGATTTATTAAGGATGTTATATACCTATAATTACAAATCATTGCGCATGAAAAAAATTCCACCTTTGTGAAACTCACTGATAAAAAGTTTGATTCATGATGCTGAAGAAGAAAAAATGTGATCTTTAGACTAAAATTGTACTTTACTCACGAAATTGTAATGACCCATTTGGAAATTTCGATGAAACTGAGCACACATGAGGTCAAACTGACGAAATTAAGAGAATCGAGACAGAACAGAACAGAACAGAAAAAAAAGATTGTCTTTTTGTCTGTAAATGCTCTGTTTTTTTTTTTGTTAAAGAAAAGCGTTATAGAAACAACTTACAGACTGAGACAAGATACGATCCATGACCATCTGAGAAGTCTCGGAGCAAGCGAAAGAGAAAGGGTTTCCGGAGACTAAACCGTTCTCCTCCGTCTCGTTCTCGCCGGCGGCGATGGGTTGTTGTGGTTCCTCTTCGAGAATGACGGTTGTGCTTTCGATTGAAGGTTTTGAGAGGAGTTGCTGAGGAGGAGTGAGGGCTTTGGAGACTTCGTGAGCTGAAACGCTCCAAGAGCGAGAGAGAAACTCCATCGGCTCTAACGGTGTCTCCGGTGGCCGGAAAACTGGGTCGGACCGCCATGGTGCAAACACTGGTTTTTCCATTTTACAAAGAGAGAGAGAGAGGGAGAGAGGTGGAAGACAAAGATGTGAATGGGTTGCAGTGTGTGTGATAAGTGACAACGAGAGAGAGAGAGTAAATGTATATCAATATCACTCACAGTTCTTTTATTTTTCTTTCTCTTCTGCTTCAATGCTTTACTTACTCTCTCTTAAAGAAATTTTTTGATAGGTAAAGCCGTAAAGGTGAATTAAATCAGGGTTTAAAGTTTAATTAATGAAATAAGGATTTCATTCAAAGTTTGGTGCACCAAAAAAAAAAATTCAAAGTTAAATCAGGGTTTTAAAGTTTAATTTTGCTTGTAAATTAATTAATTCACTTTTCTTGTGATTTAATACACCATTATCTCAGTTTTACACTATTAATGTTTGTACTTAAAAGGACTAATATTGAAAAAGACATATAATTAATAATAAATAAATCTTATTAAAACACAGATAAGATAAGTTATTTGCACAGAATGACTTAGAGCCAAGATTAAAACTAACATTCCAATTTTAGCATAAGACTAAACTAACACAAACAATACTAGTAGTAGTATTTAATTAAAAAAATGAATAGAGGTTAGAAATTAGAATTTAAGGAGGTTTCTGACTTCTGTTCTATCTTAAAAGAGTGATAAAATGGAAAGAAAGACATAAATGATAAGAGGGACCTCATGAGAGTCATGAGTGACCTGCAAAATGTGGCAAACTAATCATTATTGAAATATTGGCAGGAGGAAAGGTGTGCTGAACTTGCATCATTCCATGAAATAAGTTGACATATTTCTTTAAACCATGATTTGGTTCAACGCTTTATTATATATATATACTCTGTTTTTCTATAAATAAATAAAAACATATGCTAAGATTATGTTTTCATTTGATAAATTTTATTTTTGGGGCAAAGTTATTGATTATAAGTGGCAAACTAACCTTACTATATGGAAATCTAGAAAATTAAAACTTGCACCTTGGATTCTTATCTAAATCTAATGGATTAGCGTTACAGTTTGACAAACGAAGAATACAACAAAATTAAATTAAGCCGTTACAGTCTCACAACAACAAAAAAACGATCAAAAGAAAGAATAACAAAAAAAATATTGCTAAGACTTAATTTAGTCACACTTGGAAACCTTCTAAGTTTGTTTTGGATAGAGTAAATGTTCTAACTTTTCTTTAAGATTTGATTCAATTTTGGCTTTTCGTTTGCAAGGAAGGAGGAGTTATAATCGGAAGTCACTAATTATTGTCACTTACTTTCATTCAAAAGTGACAATGCTACTGGATGATTCCCACCAGTAAGGTTAATGATCTCTAGATCAAAGGGTATCATCAAGGTTATATTCGAGCTTGAGGCTTGAGCTTGACAATTTTGCAAGGAAGCAAAGCCACAAGGAAATGAATTTATTCTAGGACAGTAAATAAGTAAAATCAATAAATTTAGGCACGCTAGACCAAACAAAACATGAGAGTTTGATTTGCGGTAGAGTAAAAATGCGTAGAATCACTAGACAACACTCAAATCCGTATTGTGGTTGACCAAAACCAAGAAAACTGTTTTCAACAACTGTCGATTTGATTTCTTCTTTACACTACTTCCTGCCTTGGTTATAACTCATTAGTTTATGTATGTATACTAACGGTTGGACATAGTTCATACATGAACTCTGTTTTCGTCACACAAAATTGAAAAAATTTCATATGAGATGAGACCATTGTTTTATCTAAAACAGTAAAAGTGTGTGTTTTATATATGATTGGAACGGATCAAGCTAACTGTTGCAAACAAAAATTACAATAATCGAACGTATAATATGATACTGTGACCAGCTGCGTATGACGTATCATGTAAACCCTAGTTTTATTGGAAATCACATGGACCAACTCTCGTCCAATATCATCTTGGCTAAATTCCACCTGCGACCCTCTCAAGCCAATGCCCTTGCCTCTCGTCTTATCTCACAGTCACAGGACCACGGCCCGACCTCTCCAGTCGCATGATCTTCTACACCACTGAGTCACTGACTTACTCAATATAACCAAAGAGAGTTCTTGGTCGCTCTTGTTGAACTGGACAAAAAGGAAAAGGTTAAAGCCATTTAGCACTTGGAGAAGCACATGGCTCCTGGATCACTTCTATATATCGGTTGTAACATGTATCCTTTGTTTATCATCCTTTCTATAACGCAAAGTTTTTTTTAAATTCATTTTTTTTGTTTGGTTTTGGCATGTGTTTTCTATTTGCTGTGTAATTTATTTCAAATCTTTTAGGATCATATATGCCTTTGTAAATAATTTATATTGGTTCCTTTGTACATAATTCTAACATGTATCAGTTGTTCATCATCATTTCATCCATGTCGATTGATTTTATATAAAAATGCTTAAATAATATCATGAAAAATAATTTGAATTACCACTTCATTATTTATTATATGTGTGCTTAATTATTTTTAAATATTTGTTCCAATGAGTTAGGAAGCAAACACATCTAACTATTCTTTTTTCTTCTTTAAATATATCAAATCTAATGATTATTACAAATCTGAATACTGTTTTTTATTTTATTTTTGCACCAAAAGACACACTGTTAAAATTAGGATTCTAGGTAATGTTTGTGCAAATTATAATAATCCGCATATCAAAACCCTTATTCTTTGGTATTTGAGTTCTAAAACTTCAATTTTTCAACAGCTATGCATGGTGTGTCTTGTGTCAATGCTTTCGTTTGAATTTGTGCTAAAGTTTTGAGTGTGGTAAGGCTTCTTTAATTTCTAGGACTAAAGAGCATACTAATAATATCAGCGAGATGATTCCTCATCCATTGTCATTTTAAATTAGTTGTTCAAATTGCATTAATGTTTGTTTTTGGATATCTACAAATTATATAACTTTCATTCCACAAGTGCTCAATATATATATATATATTTTAATATGGTATATTCAAAAGTAATACATTAGTTTTTCCACAACCAAGTGGAGATTATATCAATACACTTGAATTATAGATGAATGTGATGTCAGTATGAAGTTAATCAAAGATTTTGATAAATGTTTGACCTAGCTAGCCATCGAACTTGATATTAATTTGAAGAAATCTTTGGATCAACATAAAGAAAACAAAAAATCTCAAGTGGCTTGGTAACTACAATATAAATAATTAATAGTTTCATATACGTGTACATGCATATGTATAATTCGGAGGTCAAAACTCAAAAGCTTCGTCGATATGTGAACTACACGCCATCCATCAAAGACAATTTCAGTACATGAAACTTAAAAGCATTACAATCCTCAGGTGATTATTAATCATCTGGTTGAGCTTAACTTAAATTATATAAGAACTTTTCGTAACATAAATCACAAGTAATACAGAACACTATAGTCTTAGATAGACCAAACAAGTTGTTTTAATTAAAGTAAAGATCAAAGGAAGAGGTTTTGGTTCTGTCCTAATCAACAGTTTTCAACATTTCGTTTGTGTTCAAATATGTATGCTTTTAAGGAAAATCAATATTATATATATAGAGAGAGTAATTGTCTAAAAGCTATCTAAACCGTGTTTCTGGTGGTAATTAACAAGTAACAACCATCCGATTATTTTACTAAATGCATCCTATGAAAACTACTATGAATGTATAATATTACATGTTGATGGTCATATGATAGATCGTGTGAATGGAGTAAAATCTTGTGTCCAAGAAATAATACAATTGTCGTAGACCTACTTATTAGTATATGAGTTTTTATTTTTTTGGTCGAATTTATTAGTATATGATTAAGAGCCTATTTGTCAACTCTTAATTCGTGTACTGTTCAACAGTTCTACTAACACATGTAGCTCTAGAGTGCATATCCCAATATTGTCATTAATGGTTTATATAGGAGTTACAATGATTTTTTTGGCTTTACATTAATTATAATTTTGTTTCAAAAGCAACTTTTAAATAAATTTATTTTCTATAAACTCAGCTTTATTTGTTATCATAAAATAGTATATAATGAAACGAGTCATGAAGGCTGTTAGATCCATGGGGGCCAGAAGCAGGTGTGGCCAAATTTAAAGAGTTTTCGTAGGTTTGGACTCTATCTACAAAACTGTAGAAAAAACAAAGTTTTGGGAGAGTTCAATTTAACCTTTTGCATTACTACAAGTGTTTAATGTTTATATATATACTTAAAATCGAATTTGATATCTTAAGATACGTATGTATGTAACACGCAAAGGTTAGACAATGTAAGTAGATATATGCATGATTAAGGAGACATTAAAGAACATTCTTTGCTAATTCTGACCTTCTCTACCAAACCAACGAAAGTCAAATCAATGCTCCCCTGTCACCCAATATTATCTATCAATCATCATTGTTGAATTAATCATCGTTATAAAATATTATCAAACATTGAACACACATGTAAACAAAAATTAAGACCGACTCTTCAATTATAAAACCATTCTCTCAAAATATAACTTTTCAAATGGGAAGTGGTTACACCTCCATTGTATATACATATGCAACCTTAAAGTCACATTTCCAAATAACACAATACCAATCTCAAAAAAAAAAGCTCTCTCATCAGTCATCATCATTCACCACTTATGAAAGAAGAAACCTTCTTTCTCCGGTGGCGGTTCTTGGCCTCTGGTCTCATCATCTTACTCTTCCTTCTTCCTCAAGCTTTCACCTTCAATACTCCGATCTACCCGTGCTTCCCACATGCTCCTTTCCTTCCTCCTATCGGAAACCCAAGGCTCGTTAAAGCTTTCACAGCTCTTCAAGCTTGGAAGTTCACCATAACCTCTGACCCAAACGGCTTCACTTCTAACTGGTGTGGTCCTAATGTTTGTAACTACACAGGCGTGTTTTGTGCACCGGCTCTTGATAACCCTTACGTCTTAACCGTCGCTGGTATAGACTTAAACCATGCCAATATCGCCGGTTATCTCCCTGTAGAGCTTGGTCTCTTTACCGATCTTGCCTTGTTCCACATCAATTCAAACCGTTTCCAAGGCCAACTTCCCAATACTCTAAAATGTCTCCAGCTTCTCCATGAGCTTGACGTAAGCAACAATAAACTCTGCGGCGAGTTTCCTTCCGTGATCTTCTCCTTACCTTCCTTGAAGTTTCTTGACATTAGGTTCAATGAGTTCGAAGGAGATGTTCCTAGTCAACTCTTTGACCTAAACCTTGACGCTCTCTTCATTAACGACAACAAGTTCCGGTTCCGG